ATAGAGGAATGCCGATCCCCAAACCGAATGAGGGGACGTAACCAGTTTATTCAAGGCGTTATTGAAAAGATTTTTTTTTGTTTTGGACGCGTCACAGTAAAGACTGGTTTTGTATACAGTTCTGCCTGGACACTATTGGGTGCGGACCAGACGGTTTTGAGACTATTGGGTGCGGACCAGACGGTTTTGGAGACTATTGGGTGCGGACCAGACGGTTTTGACACCACTGTATGCTTGACAGTCTCATTTTCAATCGGTCATGCTTAGTTCTATAGTAAGTTTTGATGTGTATGGGTGTATGTGTGTTTGTGTGTATGTTGAATAGGAGTGTATATATATATATATGACAGCATGCCTATTATAAATTAACAATAATATATATAAAAACCTATAGTAGCTTATAATATGTGGGTGGATCCGTGGGTGTTGAATAAGAGTATATATATAGTAGTGCACCCAAAACACAATGGCAATATATATAGTTCTAGAGCAGCTTTGGGTTTGTGTTCACAGTCTATTTTCAAGTAGCTTGCTAATACATTGAAGAGAAAAATTTTGCAACGTTTTTTAACAGATGATGACATTCTTTGAGTGTGATGTTTTTTTTATTTTCACATTACAATTCTGAATAAAAATGCAACAGCCTAAATGCGTAGAAAACTCCAATAAACGTTTAACTAATGGATACAAACAAACAGATTATACAACTTGTGCAATAATTGCGCATGAGAGCGTTAAGAATGGCAATAGTCAAACTATCATTTCTATAAAAGTTAGTGTAAGCAAATACGTATTTGATTGCATTCTAAAAGCCTATAAAGAAAGTGAGTCGTACAAAGCTGGTGTATGATCTGGTAGAGCAAAAGAGTTGAATGAAAGAGGTAAGGGAGTGATCGTCTATGAGATTAACTATGATGAAATAATACTAATACCCACTTTTTGTAAATGATTATCGACATATGTTTCAGTACAAATTCCCAAAATCGTTTTGCATAGTGTTGGAGTACACTTTTGTAAATTTATTTTAAAGCCAAAGATTTCTGGAATAAATTGGAAAAAGATACTACAATGGGCAAAAGAACATTTGTATTGGAAATTGACGAATTAGAACACCATTATCACGTCTGATGAATCGAAATTCTAGCTCTATGATAGTGATGGACGTCAGAGACTTTTAGGGCATAACAAAATTTGTCTGTAGTCTGATATTCTCTCACTAACAGTGAAGTTTGAAGGTGGCTCCATTATGGACTGTGTGTGCTTGTTTGGCAAGTGTCAAAGATTTAATTTTTGGAAAATAAAATATCTCTTTTAGAAAGTACATTGACATCTTGAAAATGTCTTATCTTTCTTCTTTGAATATTTTTAAGTAAAACTAGCTGAATGAGATTTTAATTACAAGAGAACAATGCCAGCTGCTATACAAGTGCAATGAGAAAGGCTTGGAAATAATTAAATTGTATTCAATATTTGGTTAGCTGATCATTACAAAGTATACACTTCAACCCTATTAATCATATCTGATCTTATCTGAAGTATAGAATTAGAACAAACTAATATAGACTATATAATATTTATTATTTGCGTCACTTTGTAGAAGGAGAACAGCATACAATTCCAAAAAAAATATTTACAGCAATTAGTTTTTAGCATGTTCAGAAGATGTCAGGTTGTGATCAATGCCAAGAGCAACTGCATAAATTACTAAAAATAAAATTCATATGTTAGAAAACAAATGACTTTTATCTTTATGACTTAGTAGTTTGAGAATGTTAAAGTGTGCTTTGAATATATTTTTTTGGATATAAAAGATATATATATCTCTGTAGAGATATGGAAATTGAAAAACATTGCAAATCTTTTTTTCCTCCACTGTATATATTGTTTATAAGCCTATAGTTTGGTTTTATATGATTCTAATTAAAATCTTGATCAGAAATTATATATTTTTTGACAGATACTAGTATATCAGCTTAAATAAATTGTAGTTCAAGCTTTTATTAATTGTCAATTGGAACTGTGTAATTTAAATAAGGTTTAGACTTTCTAAGTTACGTTTTTTATTCTTTTATGTATATACACCCGGCTTAGGATGAAATTGATTTACTTCTAACTCCACTAAAATCAAAGAAGTACACCTCTGTTTTTCAAGGTTAAATAAGTTCTCAAAGACATGATCCTTAAAGACAAAAAATAAATGGAAGATTTTGTAATATGTGTTGCTTATTTATATTAAAAGTTGATGGAGGTTTAATAGTTAATAGCTCCTTCATGCTTCTTTCTAACTAATATCATACAATCTTTAATGCTCAGGCAAAACTTCACACAAGAACTTGCTGTGATTTCTGCCCACTCTTCCAACAAAGTAACCTCCAGTTCTTTTAGCGTGGTAGGCCGGGGTCTTCTATCTCTAACCTTGTTATCAAGGCAGCTTTACATATTCTTAATTGAATTGAGATCTGGACTTTTTGCAGGCCATGGTAAGATGGCCACATCGTTTCTTTTTTTCCACTGTTCTGCAAACTTGCTCTTATGTGGCTTGGCATTGTCTTCTTGGAGAAGGTAGGTGGTGGTGTTCTTGTCAGGAAGGGCAGCAAGAAATGGGAGATAGTTGTCTCTCATTGTCTGGACATACATTTTTTTTGTCATGTAGTCATCTAATATAACTAGTGGGCCAACACCTCCTGCCCAAATACGTTCCGAAACTGATACTGAACCACCCAACCCTTACTCAGCTGGTACCAGACAGTCATCGTCATACTTCTCATGTGGTTGGCCCCAAACATATTGCTGTTCACCTTTCTGAAAAAGAGTGAATCTGGACTTATCACTCCAGATTACTGATGTCCATTCATCATTCCAATTTTTTTGCTTCCCAACCCATTGCAAGCGTGTCTTCTTATGTGCTGCATCTAGGTAAGGCTTGGCTACAGCAACACAAGAGCAAAGGTCCATATCGTGCAGATATTTGCGTACTGTTGCTTGACCGATTGAAATGTCATTCATCTCTTTAATACTGTGCATGATGATAGCTAATGTGTTGCGTCTATTTTTTTTTGTGGTAAACTTCAAATAACGAATTGTCTGTGATGATAGCTTCTTATAGGCCCCAGGATGCTCCTTCTCAGCGCACGTCTTCTTTGTCTCGTATTTTTTAATTATACAATAAATAGTTGATTGGGGTATACCGTCTGCATCTGATATCTCATAGGAGTTACATCATTCTTTATATCTTCCAATAATAATTACTTTTTTGAAATCTGTTGTCTTATAATATGAGTTGGTAGTTTTAGCTTTATTGTTCTTTGGCATTGTGATTTGTTTTATTAGAAAGATTTCAGAATTAAAATAAAAGGAAAATAGAGGATGGTCTTTTTGCATAGAAAGAAGTCATGGCAGAGTTTGAAGTAAGTCAATTTCACCCTAAGCCAGGTGTATATTTTAAATTATTTCTACTCTACTCTTCTCTATCTCCTCCAAGTCATGTATCAAGACTTATTCAGCTACACACATTAAATGTTAAAACTTAGCAGATCAATCATCTCAGATAAATTACATATCTTAGCAGACAACTTCTAGGTCTTGCTCGCCTTCAAGCCACGATGAGAACAATCTCAGCAACATACCAACATTCACTAGAAAAATTAAAGGTTTTTATCTTGCTGAAAATCTAATTTTATCTGATTAATGAAACACTTTATTCAACAAAAATTGATATTGAATCCCAATACGGAAGGGTTGTTTGTCCACACTTTACATCAATCCTTAATTAATATAGTATCTGTGCTATATTTTTCATAGATATGCCCTTTTATATCCTATAACAGCCAATTCTTTTTGGAACAAAAGGACTACTCTGAAACAAAGGGTTTTTATCATATTTTCTGATTATATTTTGCGCTTTATTTTATATTTTGATGGTCACAAAAAGAATAAAAACAGAAAATCTCAAGCACGAAAAGAATGAAAACAGATAATTCAAGCATTGGAAAAAGGATAAAAACAGATAATTGTCTTGCACACAGTTTTCGAGATTTTAGCTTATTTATTTATTTTTGATTTGGAAAACATGGGTTAGTTTAATGGTTTGGTTTTTGTTTATTTGATAGAAAAATATTTTCAATTGAATGTAAAAAAATTACAGCTATTCATTTATTCATTTAGTCTTATTGTTAAAAGCTTCTGTTACATATTTGATATTGTTTTTTTTCTAGTTATATATAATTGCTGTGATATTTATTTATTTTATATAATTTACTTACTCGGGTTACTGAAAAATCTAAAAGTGAAAGACAAAAAGTGAATTGATGGTCCAAAACAGTTTAATAAATATGAAAGCTATACATAAATTGAGTGTACGTTTGGCAGAATATATTGTGAAAAGTTAAATAACATCGGCTATAAGAACTGTAGCCCAGTTATATTAATAAATACTATTGAGTATATTGTGGTTAACAATATGTTTAACATGAAATATATATAATAGTGTTGTTCTTACCATGGAATAACTAAGGCTGTATACTTGTTTTGCAGTATGATAGCAGTATATATCTTTAAAAAAATCTTTGTCATATAAATTAATACACAAAAAAACATATATATAATAGTAATAGATAGATATAATATCTTACCATAATATTCCTTTAAGAGAAACATAGCAGGCATAATGACAATGTTTTGTAAAGTCCATGTAAACAGCACAATTAATATGGAAAAAAATACATGTAATAGTAGTTAAAATAAGATTTTCTCTTTGCCTTGGCATACCCAAACATGTGTGTGCAACAATAAGAGTGCAATAGAAGCAGTGTATGTTCATGTTCATGTGCCAGTATGTGATTATTACTGTGAGCCAAGTGATCTATAATAAAAAATAGACAAGAAAAGACGTGAGTAAAGATGCAAAAGAAGTGTGTAAAAAAAATTCAAAGAAGCGCAATAGAAATAAAGAACAATAAAAAAAAAATACTTTATCATTTAAGCCGTTTGACCTTGACAAAATGCGGTTGATAAAAATAAAAGAAAAAAAATCCCAAAGACGACATTGTTCTATATTCTATATTGAAAGGCCATATTTTACTGAGCTGGTAATGAAGTCGTTTAAATATTGGTAAAGAAGTTTCATATTGTTATGGATAAATAGCAAGTAAAACATATGAAGTTCACATCTTCTCTACTCACACTCTACACTCTGTATGTATCTCTCAAGTACAACGTACAGTAATTTTATACTAACTTTTTGCTTATTGACAGAAAATAAACAACACTGCCTCTTCTACCTCGCACCAAATAAACTGCAGACTTGTTGCTGTTGCTCGTAGTGAATTGGCAAATGCAACTTGTGCACCTCTTGTCCAAGCCCAAGAACCAGTTGTTCCTGTAGCTCTTGTAGCTCTTGTAGCTCCTGTAGTCCCTGTAGCTTCTACCAATCCCAATCTCTCCCTCTTGTTAGAGCAAGTCCTCACCGTGGTGGAGTCAACCAAACAATAAATTAATGAGTTGACAGCCCTTGTCACTAAGATAGGCGAAACTGTTACAAATGTCAGTACAGCTGTAGCTTTGTTGACCCAAAATGATGCTTTTCTAAAGACTGCAATTAAGGACATTTTAGATAGGCAAGTAGTTATTCAGAAGATCATATCAAAAGGAAACACTGCCACAGTTTCTAGCATTGTATCTGACTTCTATTCATTCAATAATGAATACACTCCTGGAAAAAGATTTACAACAATTTCGATAAACTATCTAATACTAATACAATTGAATATTAATTGATTTAACACCTTTCTTATAAAGAATCATTAATGCCTATGTGAAGAAGCCAGACCTGAAAAGTACTGATGAGGAAATCATTGCAGAAAACAACACAAGACCAGGGTGGAGTCTTATGACTGGCTTCATGAGCACACACAATCAGGCTCTTGCCATTGCTCTGATTTTGTATTTGAAGAAGCAGGAAGACTCCTTTGGAATTCACTCAAATGATTTTGGAAGAATAGTGAAGAATCACTATAGAAACCAGAGCCACATCTCCAACACTGCAGCTGACTTGATCGCAGCTCACAATCAAAAAGCAAGAAGATATGGACGCAAAAAGATAGTAAGCTTATAATATAATTGAGTGCTGATTCATTATCTAACAATTTATAATAAAATATATAGTTGCTCAAACGCCGAGAACTTGCTTATAAGCAGTACAAGCAAAATATTAACACTCTCATGGAGATAACTGACTGAAGCAATGTACTTTAGATAAAGGTATTGTCTGATGACGAGTCAGATGATGGCCGTAAAGTATGAGCATTCCGTCTTAGCTGGAGAAGTGATGAGATACTTTATTCGTGTAGAGTTAATATCTTTAACAATTTATATTTTATATTTTATTAATTTACAATTGCTTACTATTACTTACAATTTCTTATATTATATTATTACTTTCTACAAAAACAGCTCCAGGCATTCTTAGATACTGTCAATCAGTTTGCAAAAGACGGATTGGGGAATTGAGCAAACAGCTTGTTGGAGTGTAACCATGTAATCCAGCCAAAGCATCTTTCGTCATCATTTGATCCCTGCTACCTGACTGGGCTATTAAAAATTAATAAAATAAAAACAAATTTTCTTTTTGCAGCCCATCTCAACCAGTCTGATGTTTTTTACACATTTTAATGAAATTGTAATGTTGTTATATATTGGAGAAAAATGAGATGTAAAATAAAAGAAGTGCAGATGAAAGTATTATGACACTTTGTTTTATTAGAAGAAGTGAAAGAATCAAAAAGAAAATGCTGTTCTATTGCTATTTATATTGTGCGTTTATATAGACATTGTATTTAGCTTGGTAATAATATAATGATATCATGTAATGTCTGTTTCGCTATTATTATCTTCTATGATTTAGTTCTTATGTTTTTAGTGTTATTGACTAGAGTCTTAGTATTTGTCTTAGTATGTTCTTTATGTAATTTCCTTGTATAAGGGAAAATATATCTTTTAATATCATTACTAGTTGTTAGTAACTCAATGTATGTATTTATTGAGTGTTTGTACTTTTAATTTAAATCTACAATTATATTGAATACAACAAATGTGAATATATATATATTATATGTGAGTAAAAAGTAAAAGAAAATAAATGAAAAAATAAAAGAATAGGGTAAAGATAAAGAAATAAAGAAATAAATTAAAAGAAATAAGTGACTATAATAATAGAGAGTATTTAATTGTTTTTTATGCATATATTTTCCGAAGCAATAAAACCACACCCATTCTTGTTATGCCATCTTCACATCTGTAATTGTCAACAGCAACTGGCTTGTAGAGGCGATGAACTGGTAAAATATTCTGGAAGTTACTCTCAGAAAACTTAAACTCCTTCAACTCTATTCTACCATTCATGTCATCACTTCCCTCAGTTGGCATATACTAGGGTACATATGCAAATACATGCTGGCTCGAATGACCAGCAAACGAGTTGACAGTAGTACTTACAAAGAGGTACTGTATTTGCCCAGTGTATTCAACGTTGTCATCCTCATCATCTGTACAAAAGCATGCTTGAATGAATGATCTGCGTTGCATATTTCCATGGCTGCTTTGGTAGACTTGTCCTAAAAGATTAATCAATGCAATTTTCTTGATCCAATTGTTCACAAATGATTGAGAAAAACCAGTCTAGCAATAGTGAACAAGGCCCTGGCCATCATACATCTCGCGATAAATGCCAATAGATACGTATATTCCTCTTCTCTCATTGCAACTTCATCTGTTAAAGCCAAAGGATATGCGGATGGCAGCAGTGGCTCGTTTTGTTTGATGATATCAATATTCCTGTCGGCAACATTGATGAATGCATCAAGATTAAACTGAGGCATACCAGAATTGGCAGAGGCAGAGGCAGAGGCAGAGGCAGAGGAGAGATCGAGAAGTATATTGGCATAGGCAGGTAGAATTGATGGCAAAAGTGAGCAAACAAGATCACCTTTGTAAGTATCTTCGATATATCTGCGCATGTATGTATTCTCAAACCTGTCCCTTCGATTTGTTGAATAGTTCTTGATTGTGCCATTAAATCTCTCAAAACTGAAAAGTCAGTACCCATAGACCAGACCAAAGTTTTTGATTATTTTCTTCAAGTGTAAGTGCAAATGAATATTTGGCAAGATAAAATCTTTGTTATACAACACTTCACACCCTGTACCGAAAATCTCTAACTACTTGTGTGCCTCGTCGATTTCTTCATTTGAGATTGATGGCTTTGCAAGATACTGACATGCATTTGTGAATGCCGTCCAATTATCAAGGTATGCACCAGGTAAACGGCCTTGTAGAAGTATAGGCCTGTACACTAAGCACGAAGTCTTCCATTCATCTGCCTTCATGTATGGAAAGCCTTTCCCAATCGTCTTTCTCAGTGAGATATAATCAGGCGGTAAGATCATACACTGGAAAAATAGGGTAATTTCATCTGGATCAAATGTACCAAAAATGTAGCTGATTAAGCTGATATCATCACAATTTTTGTGATATATCATTTTGAGCAATGGTACGATATCATCTATGGTGCTGATGCATATCATCATAACAACGGGTACACGAAAACCCAATATAGAACGATTGTCAGTCTGCAAACTATGGAAACTGAATATATATTGTAGTTATGCTTTACTTCTATCGAGTCTACCTCTTTATGTGTTATATTTTGAGGTCTATAAAGAGCTAGCATCCCATATTATTATTTTTACCAGGTTTTTTTATTGGCTGCAGAAATGCTTTAAAAACTATCAAAGAGATGATTGTAGGTTTTTTACAATATAAAGAAATGATGATAGTTGGTTTTTTATACATGCTCAAAGTGATGAAACTAGGTTTTTTATATACACAAAAGCAATGAAACTAGGTTTTTTACAATGGAAAAGAGAAACAAAGCATAAGTAGATTTTTATAAACAAGCCTCTTTGGTGTGTTTATTTATTTTACTTTTATTTATTTATTTTTTGGAAAAACATTGGGTTATACATTTTTTGTTCAATTTTGTTTTATTTGATAGGAAAATCTTTTCTAGATAAAAATCCTAATTTCGCGACAGTTTTGATACTATAACTATTATAATTGCTAATATTTCTTGCTCACTATATATAATTTAAAGCCTTCTGGAAGTAGACATGGAAGACATACTTTAATAGTGGGAATGCTATTAAAAAATAATTTGTTGTGGTGGTTGAAGTTGAAGAAGTTTTTAAGAGGAAGAATTCAAGATTTGAAATTAGGAACGAAGATTCGTGAGAACTTGTGTAGGTTTTGTTTATTGAGAAAGATTTTGTATCAAAGTTTGACGAGGTTCCTACACTGAACTACTACTGCTATTTATATTGTTTTGTATTGGGAAAATTATATGACTGGGGTCAGGTAATCGATCCTATCTGAGCCTTAATCAGAGCAACGTGATCTTGGGATAATTAATGTATGATTAATTATATAAATGTGTGTAGTCCCAATGAAGTATTAACATCGAAAGTAAATGTGTTTATGAGTTATAATTATGCTTATAATAATCCACTGATGTATCCCATATTATGGTGATATCATCATATGAAATATAATCACTATCATGCATGCTAAACCTGTGTGTTAAATAATAAAGTAATCGGTAGACACCTTTGACTGGAATAGCTGAGGCCTTATATTATTTCCTTCAGACTTATTCTCAATTACAGCAGTAGTCAATACTCATTTACAACATAATTAATAAAAAAGGAGAATTAGTAAATGATTTAAATTGAAATTTCTTGATAAATACTTACAAGATGGAGAAGACTTGACATAAAATTAATATAAACATGTTCTTCAGAATTATCAAGACAATACCAGTAGTCTTTGAATAGAGATACATTCTAAAAATGAATAATTATTAATATTGTGCATAGTAAAGGCGTATTTATTAAATATATTGTAGTTAACTTACCAAATATTACTGATTATACGTCTTCCTGCATAATAGCAGACATAACTAATAAATTGTAATAGAAATAAATATATAATTATGAGGAAGACAAAAGAATAATTTGAATTTTTTTTGAAGAAAAAAACTTACCATCATGTTCGATTAAGAGATGATGAGACTCAATGGAAATGAGTAGCAATGGCTAGACAAACAATATGATGAGTAACAAAGATCTGTAAGAGAATGATATCTTACCTTGATATATCAGACAGAGTATAGCCAAACAAAGAGACACATATTTGGTATTGAGCTACAAAAGAAAGAAAAAATTATAAGTGAAATTGTAAAAACATAAGCAAAAGAGAAACAAAGAAAATATCAATAATAAATATCATTAAAAGAAAAAAAAGGAAAAAAAAACCTGTCTTAAAATCCAGTTTGACCCTGATAAAATGCGGGCTGTAAAAAGTAATACTCCAAAAGAAGATGACTACCATCATCTTGAAATACTACTTTGTGCCTCATTGAGTTAGAAAAGAAGTTGTCTAAATGTGGATCAAGCGGTTGGGAGATGTGCTTAAATATCAAATGAAAGGTAGAGGGTTAATCTGCACTGCTTATCCTCTTTACTAGTATGTGAATTTTAAAAATGATATAATGAGTGTAGTAAATTGTACAATATTAGTTGAAAATTATTAATATTTATTTTATTAAAAGAAAATGACAAAGCATATTCCTACTGCTCCCCGCCGACCCAACCTATTCATGAATGCTGTTCTTAATAGCACAATTGCAGGTGTTGTTGCTCTAATTAATACACCAACTCCAGAAGTAGCAGTTGTCACATCCCCTGAAGTTCAAGTCGCTGTGACCCCAATGGATCACGTCCTTACCTTGTTGGCAGTCAACAATGTGTCGATGCAATCCTTGCAAGAAAATGCAAAAGGAGTGACTGATGCAATAACTCATTTGAAGAATGGCCTTGATTTGTCCAACAAGACAAATGAATTTTTGAAGAACTCGGTCCTTCAGCTCATGACTGAAAATGCCGAAATAAAAAAGGCAATGACCAGTCAAAATTCCATGATGCCTTCTGCTGTACCAGCGGATTCTTCTTCTTCCATGGATGATGATCTTGACCATGGAACGAAACATCATCCCTTGATTTCTGTAAGTACATTGATAGTAATAACATTACTGATTAATGTATCTTATACTGTTTTTATAGCAACTTATCAATAGTTACATCAAGAAACCAAACTTTGTTAGCACAGACCTGCTCAAAGTTGCTGAGAATAATAATAGATCAGCATGGTCAATGACTGGCACGTATGGCAATAAGTACAACAAGACACTTGCACTGGCTCTCTTCAAGTACCTGGGACCTCAAAGATGTTACACAAATGTGTCAAAGAGTGTCATTATGAATATAATAAAGAATCAATACCAAAATCAAGTGTGAGTCTTCCGGACCTCAGCAGAGAAGATTATGACTAGAAATAAAGCTGGAAGAAGACGCAACAGAAAGAAGACTGTAAGTTTTAAAATAAAGTTAATTTACTATCGATTTAATGTTTTAATACAATATTCTTTGGTAGCTTCTTGACCGTTGTATTATCACGTACTAGACATACACAGAGACTACTCATGAGGGTATGAATCGATATGATTGTGGAAATAGTCTTTCTATTGATGTGATGTCTGATGGTGAGTCGGATGGAGATAACAAAGTGCGGGCATATCGTCCCAGCTGGAGAACTAATGAGATAATGTTAAACATCTATTTATGTTTTAAAGAAAATAATAATACTTTATTAATACTTTTTATTCTTTAAACCAGCTCCAGACGTTTATTAGTACTATTGATGAACTTACTGTTATCAGTTTGAAGAGAAATTCAGAAAGCTAGAAAAAGTGCATCCCTTATGAGAAAGAAGTGAGCATTCCCAAGAATTTGGCAGTCACTCTACCAGATTGGTGCTTTTCAAAATAAATCATTTTTCTCCTGCCAACTATTTTAGAGTCTTTTTTCTATTTGTTTATGTTTACGGATTAGCATGATGTATACAGATGCATGTATAGCATGCCAAGTACAAACAAAAATTTATAGAAATAATAAAAAATAAATGTGCAGCTATATATATTAGTCTGTATTAATTAATATTTCTTTTTTATACATGTTTCATTTTTGTATTTGAATCTAAATATATATTTTTCATGGCAAAGGAACTACACACATCTGAACTTCGCCTTCTAGACCAAGGTGCTCGCCTACTGCGACTGGATAGCAGATTCTATTCACTGGGAGAATGCTGTTCATGCTGTCATCTTCGAACCCCACCTCATTTACCTCAACTCCTTCTCCTGCTCTGGGCTGAAGTAAAACTTCCTTGTATCACTGTACATATGCAAATACATGCTGGCTCGCATGACCAGCAAACGAGTTTACAGCAGTATTGACAAAGAGGTACTGAATTTGGCCTGCTTACGGCTTGGTACTTCTACCATCACTTGTCTCAAACAAGGCTTGCATTAACGACCTGCACTGATTCTTCGTTTTGCTCTTGTAGATTTGCCCGAGAAGATCGATTGATTCAAACTTCTGTATCCAATTGTTAACAAAATTATCGGAATGACCAGCCTGACAATAATGAACAAGAGTTTGATCATCGTATGTCTCGCGATAGTATTCCAACAAATGCTCATACTCGGATTCATCCATAGAAATCTCCCCCTTTAGAGCTAAAGAAAGTGCGGAAGAGGGCAAAGGCTCGTTTCCCTTGACGATATCAAATTTGATCTCAGGAGAATCAAGAAAAGCATTGATATCGAATTGGATTGAGGTGGCAGTGGAAGTGGAAGTGGCTATGGAATTGGCAGTGGATGCAGTGAGCTCAAGGATGATTGCTGAATGGTCAGATCGAATTATTGGCAAAGTTTGGCGAATAAGATCTCCCTGGTATGTTTCTTCAAGATACTTCTTCATATAGGTTTCCACAAACCCGTCTTTTCTATTTGTTGCATAGTTTTTCAAGATACCATTGCATCTTTCGAAACTAAAAAGCCAATAGCCATAAACCGGGCCAAAGTTTATTACAGTCTCTCGCAGATGAAGATGGATATGCATGTTTGGCAAAAGGAATGGGGCTTTATACAACTTCTTGCACTCTCTGCAGAAAGCCTCCAAAGATTGATGGGCTTCATCAAGGTGAGCAATGGATATGCTTAGCATTGAGAGGTACTGGCATGTATTGACAAACATTGTCTAGTTACCGAGATGAGCTTCAGATAGACGATCACGCAGGAGAACAGGAGAGTACACCAAGCACCAAGACTTCCACTTGTTGGCCTTCATGAATGGGAAGCCACACCCGATCTTTGTGCCTAATGGCATGTAGTCCTCTGGCAGTACAAGCTTGTCAGCATCCAACTGCACTTCGGCCAAGTGTGCATCTGTGATGAGATTTGAAGATCTCTATTTCTCCATTATCCTCTTTGCTGTTCCAAGGTACAGGTTGTGCATTGGATCGATGACAGTGCACTCCACGAGGTTAAAGTAAACCAGGTCATGCAATTCTGACCATCGGACACCATTTTCCCTCTCCAATCTCTTTCTCTGTGCATCACTGCTGGCCATTCTCCACAACTTGGCATCACAGCGGTTTTTGGCATCAGTGCGAGGCACCCACTCAGAAAACACGAACCCAGAGTAGTCCACAGCATTGGAGTCTGGAAGGTGAGGGAACTATCAGTTGCACTTATTGCATGCACATGTGCTTGAATGAGAGGTGAACCCACAAGTCTTACGGGCAGCAGGAATGTTGGAGGCAACAAGAAGTGCAGCACAGACAAGAGCACCAGATGGGCACTGTACGGTAGGCATCACCACACCGCCATACAACTGGTTGAGTTCCACGACAGGGGGACGGAGGTAGTGATTGATCTCACTTGTCTTTGCTTCCTTGGGCCCTGGCATGAGACCAATGAGAATAACATTCTCCTTCTTGTACCATTCCGATCTTTGCAAGTTGTTGATGCAAAGGTCTAGCACACCACAAGAGTAAGTGACCCCATCGAAAGGTTGAAACCAATTGATGTTCATGGTAAGCATTATGGAGCGCTCATGATTCACAAACGGTAAACCATTGCTATCCTTCAGACTGTTTCACTTCGTACCGTCGTAAATGTCAAACATCATGCCTGGAACTTGCACTCTGATTCTCCAATGGTTGATGGTGTCTTCGAATCCAGGGTGGCAAAAAAGGATAGACAATGTTTTGATTATGGAGTTATACATGTAGATCTTTTTGGGGATAGTCAAGGCTCTTGATGTTGCAAAGAAAAGAGCGTTTCCACATTCTCTACCAGAGAGTCTCTCGAAATTACAGCACTCTGGAACAACATTGGACTCTTCGTATACTTTGTTACAATTGCCACATGCAACAAACCGCTGGACACCTCGAGTCACGTCACTGAGACTGGTCATAGAGTTGACACTGTTTATACAGAGGGGAAGACGGAAAGACTGTCCAAAGTGTGCCAATACTTTGTTAAGAAACTTCAACAGAACAGCACCACCAGAATTGACAACATATTTGGATATGAAGAATGCAGCAAAAGAAGCAATAAAAGCATAAGTAGGATCTACTGGTATATTGGATGAAGAAAAGTGCTCTATTTGAAAAAAAAATCAATACTTCTTGACTTTATTGATTTATATGTGCTTTTTGTACTAACCTCTAACATCATCAGATTCATTGTCAGAAATATTCAAAATGATTGCTTCAATGACATCCTCATCTTCGCTTTCAGAATCAAACAAGGAATCAATGTCAAAAAGAGGTAAGTCTTCGACTGTTTTGTTAAGTAAAAAAGAATCAAATTATTAGATATTATAAATGATTATAAAACTTTAATAAAAATACTATGCATACCTTCAACTTGATCTTCGGCATCAACATTGTCTTCAAAGTCAATCTCCATGTCATTGTCATTTGACATTACTTATACAACTGAGGCTATATTATATGAAAATAAATATTTAATTAAAATTGTCTCAATAATAATTTTCTTAAATTTGAACTTACAAGTATATCCTGACTGATATTGTCTCACAATATCCTGTTGTGTATGTCTTCTGAGTGTTTGAGTAGACACCAAAACAAATCCCATGCTATTAGAAGAGCATTTAGAGCACTTGCATTCTGAATTGTTGTTGTTGTTGGACATATTGTGTGTGCATGTTTTATTTTTTAAGTCTTTAGAATTGACAAGAATAGAAAATTGTTTAGAAACACAATTTAATATATATCTTTCCAAATTACACCAGCTTCCAAAATGACATAGTTTATTCTGGTTGTTAAAATGGGCAGTTCTCTAAACAGTAATTGATTGCCTCATTCTAAAATACAATAATACACACTTTTGTTAAAACATGTTGTCATGTACATTTTAGTAGCTGTAGAGCATATACAACAAAAATATTTGTAGTACTATCATGACCATTAACCTCATCATACTTACAAATAAATATTACAATAATAAAAAGCTTTTTTATCTCACTCAAAAGATATCATTTGGTTTAAGTTCCCTGCAACTATTGACTCTGCGATATGGCTACAAGTCCCAAAAAGAAATCTCGCAGACATTTTTTACAAAAAAGAGTAAACTCGTTTTTTTATCCAATAAAACAGACCGAGCATTATCATTGCCGTCAAAAATAAAAAAGACAAAAGTGATGGAAATTTAAGCTACCACTTCACAAATAATAGTACCCTACGCCATAGATAAAATTACCCTATTTTTCCAGTGATTATGTCTTTATGTTATGATCTGATAAAGAACTCTAAAATCTTTCTAATTTTATGTTTTATCAGCTTAAAAATGTGTCAATATTTAAGAGTTTCAACTACTATCGAAATTTATTAAACAATCTTCAAGATAAAGATCATTTATACACTAGTTCTGATCTGTGACTTAACTTATCAGCTGTTATATTTGAAAGACTCACAGTTTAAGACATCAAAATTGAATATCTTTCTTATGTAAAAATTTTATATCAATATAACAAGCTTAAAAATATTTGTAAGATATTACTACCCTAGTACATGGCATATTTTATAGCTGTAATATGTCTGTTTTTTATGTGATAATGTTTTGTATAACTTGAGAATGTAGCTAAAGTATAAAGATAACGATTTTCAGCTGTCTGACATTTATAAATATGGTGTTCTCTGTTTTTATTCAAAACCAAAGGTTTCCATCTTAGTATAGATGGCATTCCAGCTGGAATCTGATGTATCTACCTAGATATTCAGTGCTGAAAGTATAATAAGAGATTTCTAAACTAATATTTTATAGCACAAGTATCTGTTGTCTATCCACTAGAATTCATCTGCGACTGTTTTTATTAGTATTGCTTGCCATCACAAAGAATGTTCTGATAGAAGCTTCAGACAAAGTCTCTCTAGAAATAATATAGTCAAATTATGACATTTTGTATGGTTAGAATTATTGTTATAATTCTTTTATCAGACAAGATAGCTGTCAGAAAGTCTTGAAGCTTTAAGAGTCTGTTTTTTTTGCTTCCTATTGTCATCAACTTGGCTTTTGAAAATTTGAGCTGCATTGTCTATGTGTTGAAAGTGAATCTGAAAAACTTCTGTGTGTAAGTAGAGATTGTAATATTCTTTTTCAAATTAAAAATAAATCTAAGGTTTTAAACATGATCTATCATTTACTCTATTACTATTATAGTGACTTTAAAATATTCTGCCCCTAAACATATATTGTCTGCACAATATATCTGTTATAGTTTTTGAGCTCATTGAGATATTATTGCAAGTATCATTAAAATGAAGAACACATAGAGTACTGCAGAAAATCCAAAGACTAATATCTACAACTAATATATTTGGTTTCTGTGATAACAGTTTAAGAATTTCTTATATGCTTAATGAAAATATACTATGAAATAAATATTTTTCAGATCAATCTTGGTCATAAAGTTGCCTTTTGAAAGCATCTTCTACAGCACTGAAACTTGTTCTATCTTGAAAAGTTGTATTGGAACATGAGTGTATGCATTTTCAATTGAGAATGAAATGTTTTTTGTATTTTTTTACAGAGCAAATATGAGCTATAAAAACTGGTCATATCTGTTTAGCAACTCTTCTATAATCTTTATATTTAAGAAAATTTTACTGCTTCCTTCAGGTCTAAATTTTTTTTGAACAAAGCTTTGAGAGACAAGTACTATGGTACAGATATTAATTTGAAATGAATCATGTACTCCTTATGAACCACTAATTATAGACAATTTTGATTAGTTATATTTTCTCAGAATTTTTAGTAATACTAAGGATGCTTATCTCAAGCTATCATATTCTCTGCCATTGTGTAGATGGGGTCATTAAAAGAAGGATTCTGGAACTTGAGAGAGAATGTGTCAGGAACCAATCTAGATAGAAACAAGAACAGAGAAATATAAATAGATTTATGTCTTAAAGAAGTTGTTTGCTTGATCTTTCTATGAATAAACTTTACTGATATGTATATGAATATGGGGCATTTTTGGGATTTTGTCACAAAGCAGGTTTTTGAGATGTATATGTAATATATTTATTATATATATAATAAATATATATATATATCTATAATAGAAAAAATAACAAAATAATGATTTAATAAGAATAATAACATTATGGAGACATGAACACTTTTTTGTATACAATATTTTTTATTTAACATTTGTAGCTTGCAGTAGAATCAATCATCATAAACTTCAAAGAAGAAAGAGAGTGTACGCAAGATAATGCAACATAAAGTTGGCTATGTGAAAATACTGATAGAGGAAGATATATGCAAGTGTTACTAAGAGTTTGACCCTGAGCCTTGTTTATAGTCATAGCAAAAGAAAGGTATAAGGGGAATTGTAATCTTGTAAATGCGATTTGGTCTTCTGTACTGAATATAATCAATTTGATTCTTGGTATAAATACAATCTTTCCATTGAGTATCTCATTAGCAATTTTTGTGTTGATTATATGATTATTCAAGGATTCACACATTAATTGTGTCCCATTTCAAAGACTATTTGCAGGATCAAGGTTTCTCAATAATATTACAGGGCACCCAAAATTGAGTTTATGGTCGTGAAGAGGGAAGTTGGGTGGGTCATACGTATTGAGGAATTCACTGGAATAGCTCATTTGATTTTCATCTGAAAGTCCTTCGTTGATGCTGCTGTATGTTACTTTTTCTCCTGGAAAAGATTCGAGGACTATGTTATTTATATGTTTAACATCTGCATTTCTAGGAGTAAGTATGGCATGGCCAGCAAGATATTCACAACTTGTAAAGGTGGATGATAACTCGGCAAAAATGGAATCTGTTAAAGTCTTAATATTGAAATCTTTCAATACAATCGATTCCGGAAGTTGAATGGTTTCATTGTCATTTCCAATCGTTGATTCATTTCCTTCTCCAATACGCAACAGAAAGTTTGTGAAAAACTCCACTTGGGTTGCTTCAATTTGCGTTCTGGCTTTCGATATCTGTATATTGATAGTCAATTTAAGCTTTATAACATATTTCCAAATGTTTGACCAGTTTATACATTGCTTTGCAGTTTCACTCCTTGAGCCTTTAGATACTACTGGAAGTACTTGTTGAAAATCTTCACTAAAAACAACTACTTTCCCTCCAAATGGAATATTGGCAAATTCTTCATTCTCAAATTGCATTATATCTCTGAATGATCGATCAACTGCTTCAAAGGCATAATGACTGATTATAGATGATTCATCTCATATAATCATTTGAGAGGGTTTGATAAGCTGTCCAGCTGTTGACGTTGGTGTAATTGTAGAAACTGAATTTATGTTGACAAATAATGGTATATAGAATTGTGAGTAGACTGTTCTTCTTCCATGTAATAATAAGGCTGTGGTTCCACTCAAAGTCAATGCAAGGGCAATATCAAAGTCTCATTGTGTTTTCTTTAAT